GCCCCATCCTCCTCACTGCCTCCCTTGAGGTACTTCTAGACACTGCTCAGGTCCCCTCTCAGCCTTCTCTTCTCCAGGCTGAACAGGCCCAGCTCCCTCAGCCTCTCCTCATAGGGCAGATGTTCCAGGCCCCTGATCATCCTTGTAGCCCTGCGCTGGACTCTCTCCAGCAGCTCCACATCCCTCTTGTCCTGTGGGGCCCAGAACTGGACACAGTACTCCAGATGTGGACACAATACTGCAGATGTGGACACAATGCTCCAGATGTGGACACAGCAGGGCTGAGCAGAGGGGCAGGATCCCCTCCCTCGACCTGGGAGATCCCCTGCTCTGCGCTGCAGTCCCAGCCCTGACAGTCTGGTAGCAGATTAGTGGTGTTTGCCCATGTCGGGTGTTGCAGAGTCAGTTGTTTAAGAGCTGCCAGGAATGGTTCCTGTACGCCTGTCTTTGTTAGAAGGCTAAAAACGCTGTTTTTGCAGGAACGTCCTGACTGTTTGCTGGGATGTCCCCCGCGCCGCGGGCCGCGTCCAGCCCTCATTTCCTTGAAGCCGAGGGAGGCCGGGTGGCGGGAAGCGGCCGCCCTGGTTTGCGCCACCCCGTCCCGTGACGGCCGGCCCGGGACGTCCCGGGGTTCAGCGCGGGGCGCGCGTGCCCGGGGAGCGCGCCGGGGCGCTTTCGCTGCCGCTTTCGGGAGCCGCCGCTTCCTCCTGCGCTTGCTCTCGCAAGCTCAACGCTCACGCTCTCTCCGCAGGCCGTCCGGGACTAACTGTTGCCTCTTTTCTTCCTTTTTTTAGACAGAAATTGCTAAAAGGCTGAATACGATTTTAGCGCAGATCATGCCTTTTCTGTCACAAGAGGTAAGGAGGCTCCTTGGTGCGGGTGCCCCTCGGAATGTGGCACGGCGACTGCGCCATCCCACGGGAAGGGGATGCAGCGGGAAGGGGACGGGAGGCCGGGACACCCATGTGGGTGACGGGGCCCCGGGGAGCAGCGTTGAGCCCGGGTGCATCGTCCCTATGGGGCAGGGAAGCCGGGGGGCTTGTTGGACACCTTGTTGCCACCCCTGTGAGTTAGAGCAGGGGGATTTGCAAAGCAAAAAGGGGCAAAAAGGTGGTGCCTGTTGGCTGCTCTGTGCCACAGGGCTGGGGACAGTCTGCATGGGGGTGACCTGCACATAGGGGTGGCCTTGGGCATGGGGGTCTTGGTCCACTCTGTGCCACAGGGCTGGGGACAACCTGCATGGGGGTGACCTGCACATAGGGGGGGCCCTGGGCATGGGGGTCTCGGTCCACTCTGTGCCACAGGGCTGGGGACAGTCTGCATGGGGGTGACCTGCACATAGGGGGGGCCCTGGGCATGGGGGTCTCGGTCCACTCTGTGCCACAGGGCTGGGGACAGTCTGCATGGGGGTGACCTGCACATAGGGGTGGCCTTGGGCATGGGGGTCTCGATCCACTCTGTGCCGTGGGGCTGGGAACAACCTGCACGGGGGTCCCCGTCCCGGCTCTGACGCCGCCGCGTCCCCTTGTCCCCGCAGCACCAACAGCAAGTCGCACAGGCTGTTGAGCGTGCCAAGCAAGTGACAATGACGGAGTTGAATGCTATCATCGGGGTACGTGGACTTCCCAATCTGCCTCTCACCGTGTGTATACCCCTTTTATTCCTATCATTTACCATGGCCAGAGACAAGCCTGCGCTCAGGCGGCGAGCGGGACCTGCCACCCCGAGCAGCGGGGCCGGGTTGCCCTGTGGGTGCTGATGTGGCCAATAGAGCCCAGATGGGATTGATTGGGTGGCCCCCAGGTTTGGTGGCCGTAGTGGCACGTGGCCCTCCCGGGGCCCCTGAGCCCAGGGCTGTCTCTGTCCGTATGTTGATGTGAAATGTGCTGGGAGCCGGGGCTCCACGCGCCCGCTCGCGGTTTTTGTTGCCTTTAACCCGTGCAACCGTCGCCTCGGGCCCACAGGAAACCTTTTCCCTTATTGAAACCTCAAATGGCTTCGTCTGCAGGATGCTCGTGTCACCGATCACCGTGTCCTCGTGTGCTGATTTTCCTTAGAGCTCTTCTGGCTTCCGTGCTCGTTTCACGTTACCGTTTGTGCCTCTTTCTTGAGCTGCAAGGGAACTTCTCCTCCGTGTCCCTGTCCGCTCGCGTTTAACCCGCTCCCGATTCTTCCCGCTTCTTAACAAACCTTTCGGAGCGGCCTCATCCCGGCCGCGATGGGAACGACCCCGAAGGATGCAGGGGGGTGCCGTGTCCGTGGGTGCCTGCGGAAACGGGAAAACGAGGCGGCCGCGGCGCCTCCATTAGCTGCTCCGAGTCGTAGTTAGGAGTCACGGCAGCTGGAGGCAGATATTGGAATTCAATTAAGGTAAATGAGCGGGGCCCGTGACCCCCATTTCCTTGGTAATTGCTTCCTCGGATCAGAGCGAGCGCGAGCGTCGTCCTGTCGTTAAGCAGCCAGCCGGTTAATGGCGCTGCCCGGCCGGCCCGCGGCTCCTCCGTGCGAGCCGCAGCGCCGGCCCGCCCCCATTGCACCAGGTTGTCACCGCGGTCGCTTGCGCGGGACGTGGTGCCCGTGGTGCATCCGTATCAGCATTTCAGTGCGCGTGCTGGAAACAGGGCTGGCATGCATAAGAATGCACCAAATCATTAAAACCTCCTTTTTTCACCCCTTTTGAGGTCAGGAACTGTTAATTTTATGCATCTAGGCCATTGTCTTACAGTTCCTCCGCTGCAGGCTTCTGTGAAATTGAGCCCTTGATTTGGTTATAGCTCTGGAAATGATTAGACTACTTTACTAAATTTAACGCAAGTGGTGAACTCAAGTGGTGAACCATTAAATCAGTTAACAAAGGCATGAAGCATGATGTACATAATCCAATTAAAAACACTCTACGTACAAGATATTCCTTGCCAGCCTTTCTCATAAATGGTAACCTCTTCATATCTTAGCCATATTTGTCTGGCACATGCCTGGAGATCCCGCAGGGAAGCGGCTTTGGGCATGAGCATCTCCCATTGCCGAGCCTGAGCGTGTCCCGCTGGCATCCCGCTGGAATGAGGGATTCGGGCTGCTCCCGCCGCTGGGTTTGCTGGTGCTGGTGCTGCCCATGGGGCTCGCCGAGCTATGGGTGCTCTTAGTGGGGGGCAGCTTGGAAAGAAGAGCCCGTGGAGCCCTGCGCTCTGGCACGGGCTGGTGAAGGTGGCACCTCCAGGGCCTCCCCAGCCGCTGTCCCCGTCCCCGTGGCCCTTCCTTGTCCCCGGGATGTGACCCGCTCGCCGCAGCCCTCCTGTCCTTCCTGCTCCCCTTGCCGTCCCCAGCCGCCCCTTCCCGGGCACGTGGCCCTGCCAGGAGGAGCCTCCTGGGTGTTCCTGCCTGCCGGAATCCTGTGGGACGGCTGGGAAAGGCCGTGGATCCGGGCGCATCCCGGATCTCGGAGCACCGCGAGCGCCTCGGCCGCGTCGCAGACCCTGCTGCTGCGGCGGCTGCGTTGGAGGATAACGCCGGTTCTGTCCCCAAAGCGGCAGCTGCTCCCGGCCCCGGGCGCCTCCTCGGAGCTTCCCTGCTCCCCTGGGAGAACGCGGGAGCGGGCGCAGCCGTGGGGAGGGCTCCCCGTCCCCATCCATGCGCGTGGCACCAGCTCGCCGCGTCCCGCCC